CACTCTATCAATGTCACCCTGTAGGATTTATTCAATGCAACAGGCTTGCAGACAGAGTCCCCACCCTAAATCACACCCCCCCCTTGCATTGTGTCCTGATGGGACTTACTCATAGAGATAGGTACAACATTCACTAAGCTCTGGGGAAAATGCCTTGCAAAGTGAACAGCCTATTTGCCTTTTGTAAATTAATCCCCATATTTTCGTTAAGTTCTTATTCAGAGCATTTCTATAATCAACATAACAATTTTTACATATCATTTAATGAAAAGAAACATAGCGCAATAGAATATTTATTACCCAGCTTGTAATCCTGATTTAGCAGGCATCAAATATGATAAGGATTGGATGCCAATTCTCCTTTGGAGAGAGAATGTGTCTAATCTGCCTCTTGTAACCAGGGCCGGTGCTTCCACTAGGCAAACTAGGCATCCACCTAGGGCACACTACCACCTAGGGGTGCCTAGGCACAGCACAGGCTGGCACTCTCTCTGTGTGGCCTATGGACCTCTTGTATGAATTCTTCATTTCTCTGCAGAGTGCACCTCTCCTCATAGACAGGGAATGATGGTATATTTACTCTGCACAATTTTCTCACAGCCTGTCCACACACATGACAATTTGGTGTCTGGGGCCAGTGTAGCAGCAGAGCTGCCGTTCCTTCTAGTGTTCCTCTCAGACTCAGTCATGCACTGCAAGCCAGCTGGCGGCTGCTGATCACTGTGGAGTTTTGGAACTCTGTCTTTTTTTTGTTTCTCTATTTGGTTAATACAGCTAATTTATATTGCTTAATATATATTTTGTCTTTAATATTAGCGCTGGTGGCATCTTATGGCACTTATTTTTGCAAATTAAAAGAAATTCAGCAAGTTCATGTTTTGTTGACTTAATATCTTCTACAGTTTTTAAAAATTTTTATTCTTTTTAAATTTTTTTTTTTTTTTTGGGGGGGGGAGGGGCGCAAGTAGCTAGTCTTGCCTAGGGCACCAAATGGTCTAGCACCGGCCCTGCTTGAAGCATACAGGTATTTGTAAAATGATGGTAATTCGCTTATACATTTGAGTGGATGCTTGTTGTTAACCCCTTGGCGCTGGCGCCTCCCGGCCCTTTAAGGGTTTCAGAAGCCAGGAGGCGAGGCAGGGTTTAGGGTCATGTGACCCCGGTCACATGATTGGGAAAGGTCCCGATCGAAAGAGGAGATCGGGACCTTTCCGTGAGTAATGGACATGTGTGCTAGGAGCGCGCAGGGCGCGTACTCTCAGCACATATGCTTTTTTTAATGGAACGCAAATGTGCAGCCACTCGGCGTCTAGGCCCAGACGCTGGGAGGCCACACATTTGCGTTCGGCCAGCGCCAAGAGGTTAATGTAATGTTATCATAGCAAGCTTTAAGAATTAGGTGTAGATTTTGTTCCTGGCAGTTACAAACAGGAATGTGGAAGGCTTTTCCCTGATCTACTAAAATGTTTATGATATGTCATAAAGCCTCTGCTAACGGAGGTTTACAATCCTATTAGCAGTCTGTTGGCTTGAGAGAAATTTTAATGTTACGTTTAACCACTTGCCTACCGGACCAATTTTTACATAATTCTTTTGCTAGAAAACTACTTACAACCCACAAACATTTTACATTTTTTTTTAAGCAGAGGCCCTAGAGAATAAAATGGTGGGTGCTGCGATATTTTGTCACATGGTATTTGCGCAGCAGTTTCTCAAATGAAAGTTTTGGGGAAAATATACACTTTTATGAATTTCATTGCACACAGACACAATATAATACCCATTTTTTTGGTAAAATATAAAAGCTGATGTCACATCAAGCAAGTAGAAACATGTCATGCTTTAAAATTGTACATGCCCATGGAATGGCAACTAACTATGGTACATTAAATTATCCAAAGGTAGCGCTTTAAAAGCTTTTATAGGTTAATAGTTTAGAGTCATACAGGAGGTCTACTAGAATTATGGCTCTCGCTCCTACGTTCCTGGTAATACCTCACATGTGTCGTGCGTTCAAACATGCGTGCGGGACCTACGTGTGCGTTCACATTTGCACGTGAGCGCAGGGGGAGGGGGTTGGGGCACTTTAAAATTTTTTTATTTTATTATTTATCTTTTTTAATGTGGTCGTAAACTTAGATTACAAAAATTAAACTGAACATTTTTGCTAACTCAGCAAAGCAGTGCAACTCATTGGTGCACAATCTGGCAGCCTGTCATCTGTAATCCTCCTCGCTTTGCTACAGGAAAAAACCTGACACAAGCAAAAAAAAGTTGTCACCACACCCTCTCTCCTTTGATTGACATACATGTAATGGAGACTCATAGACAAGCATGTGTGAAGGAAGCGCGTCTCCTGGTACCTCAGCCTAAGTGGAGGTCTGTTTAGTTTCAAGTGGTTGTTATCTTCATCTGCATCATTTATCAAACACATTTCATAGTTTATAGAAAGAATCCCCCTGCGCTCCACAGAACCTTTAACTTAAAGTCAGCTGCTATCACCTTTTCCCTATACCTTAGGATATGTGCAAATAAAATTTATATGTTTTGTGATGAAGCGCTCAACTTATATAGTGTATACAACCCCCTTTTTTACATCAATAATATTGTGAAAAATACAAAATAAGTGCTTGATTCCCTCTTAAATACTATAAACTATACAAAATCATTTATAAATAACTGGTGCAAATTCACACTCCTATTTATGCCCCCTAGTGGTCAAAGACCGTGAAAAATCTAATTCAAATGATAACACTTTATCTGTGCAAAGTGATAAGTGTATCCAATTACATGAACTAAATCAAGTAAACAGTCCAAAAACTTGTGATGCCACACTGTGCAAATAATAAGTGTTCAATACACAGTGATTATAACTTCACTCCATGCTGCAAACGTGCTCTTTGTGACACTCTGATGTGACTCCCCTGGATATAGCCAAAATGCCTCCTCACCTTCCACATTCGACCCTTGCGGGTCACAAAGCCTTAAATATATAATATCTCAGCCAGATTTTCATGCTCCACTGACTCCACCGACTCAATTAAGATCCCCCTCCAAGCAATGAATTCCTCTCAGATCACTTTCCTCACAGTATGGACTCATAAACACAGGACGTATATGTAGAAACAAAGACAAACCTCCACAGTGCAACACTGTTTTAATGCACTTAAAATTTCCAAAGCAAATGAACACTCACATGTCATCCAGCAGAAAGAAGCAGTTTCCCATGTGCTATGGGTGTACTAAGGTGTACCAAAATGGCGTCCGAACCCGGAACCGGAAGTACGTCACCCCTTAACCGGAAATGCATCGACGCGTTGCGCCACGATCACGTGGCTTCTTCAGGATCAGTGTGGCATCACAAGTTTTTGGACTGTTTATTTGATTTAGTTCATGTAATTGGATACACTTATCACTTTGCACAGATAAAGTGTTATCATTTGTATTAGATTTTTCACGGTCTTTGACCACTAGGGGGCATAAATAGGAGTGTGAATTTGCACCAGTTATTTCTAAATGATTTTGTATAATTTATAGAATTTAAGAGGGAATCAAGCACTTATTTTGTATTTTTCAAAATATTATTGATGTAAAAAAGGGTTTGTATACACTATATAAGTTGAGCGCTTCATCACAAAACATATACTGTACATTTCATAGTTTGTTTAATAAAAAATGTATTAAACAATTTTTTAATAAAACTTTTTTTTCCAAAGAGCTGTATTTTTATCTCTGTATTTTTATCCCTGTATTTTTAGCTTGGTATTTTTACCTTGGTATTTTTATCTCTGTATTTTTATCTCTGTATTTTTACCTCTGTATTTTTATCTCTGTATTTTTATCTCTGTATATTTATCTCAGTATTTTTATCCCTGTATTTTTACTTCAGTATTTATATCTCTGTATTTTTATCTCTGTATTTTTATCTCTGTATTTTTACCTCAGTATTTTTACGTCTGTAGTTTTACCTTGGTATTTTTATCTCTGAATTTTTACCTTTGTATTTTTATCTCTGTATTTTTACCTCGGTATTTTTATATCTCTGTATTTTAGCTCAATATTTTTATCTCAAAACCTATCATAGCTCTCTGAAAATCTTTGGTCCGTGGGGCATCATCCCAGCATAACCACTTCAACCCGATGACATCATAGGACGTTCTATGGACGGGAAGTGGTTAACTACCTGAGCCTGGGTCCTGTCAGAGATGCTTTGAACTGGAATGTTTCAATGACTAGTTTTAGGATAGACTCATCAAGAGGTCTCTGTTATCAGTGATATGATTGCCAGACTTTGCTAAGTACCAGGGGCGGACTGACCATTTGGAAACTCGGGCACTGCCCGAGGTCCCGGGGTCAGTAGGGGGCCCCATGAGATGCCCCTGGTACCTTTTTCATAGGATTTTTTGAGTTTGGGCAATGACACAGGGGCCCCATGATCCCCTATTGCCCAGGGGCCCATGAGGTGTCAGTCCGCCCCTGCTAAGTACTGCTCAAGGTAGCCATTAGGCTCCATGCACACGGGGGGTTTTAATAACGCTGGTAACATTAGCTGTGTAAAGTCATGTTAAAAATATGAGTTTTTCAGCATTTTTTTTAGTGTTTTTGTATTAGCATTTAGCTGCGTTTTTCTGGCGTTTGCGTTCTTCAGATTTTTTTTTACCAAAAAAAAAAATATTGTTTTTGGTAAAAAAAGTCCAAAAACGCTGGTTTGCCGTGATTTACCATGTTTTTCAGCGTTAGAGTGTTTTTACAGCTAAAAAACTCCTCTAGAAACCCACTAGTCCTGGGTTTTTTTCCAGCCAAAAAACATCCCTGCTAAAAAACGTTGATTCCAGGCTATATGCGTACGGACACATAGGATAACCTGCTGGGGGGTTTACTGGCTGTAGAAAAAAACGTCAAAAGCCAAAAGCAGCCGCTGTAAAAACGTCCCGTGTGCATGAGGACTCAGAAATGTACGAGGGTCTATACCCAGACTGTGCAGACCTGACACACCACATTTAGACAGCACATTCAGTAACACTGAAATTTGTAAATGTTAGTATTGGAAGCAAGTACCTACCTACTAGAGTTCCTCCCACAAACGCAAAGGCCAGTGACACACATATGCCGGCAGCTTGATATCCGCCTTGCATGCTGGGTGTTCGGTCTACATAAGCATCTTGAAATCTGAAAAATTCTTTGAGACTGAAAAGCAAATAAAGCATTTAGTACTACAAGACAATGACTGGAATCAAAGCAGAAAATATAGAATTTAGAAGCTTTTACTGATGGCTGATCGGGATCAATGCTTTGCTACTGCTACCTGTTCAATTACCTCCCTGTTATGTGTTGTATGTCTCCTGCTCCTCACTCGGTGGTTGATTTACTAAAGTCAAGTAGACTGTGCACTTTGCAAGTGAAATTGCTCCAGAGCTTAGTAAATGAAATAAAGCTTCACTTTGCAATGAATACCCAATCACGTGCAAGGAAAATTAAAAAAAAAAACTGCATTTTTACTTGCACAGGATTGGCTGATGGAAGTCAGCAGAGCTTCTGCCCATTTACTAAGCTCTGGAGCAACTGCTCTTGCAAAGTGCACAATCTGTTTGCCTTTAGTAAATCAACCCCTCTGTCTGCTCTGTTCTGTTCCCACATGCATGCTGGTTCCACCCTTCCTGTAGCTATTTAACTTCTTGCCAATCGCAGATAACCGAATGACGGCTACACTGCGGCCGGCTAGTTCTGGGAGGGCAACATATGACGTCCTCCCAGAACGCGTTCACCTGCGCGCCCCCGGGGGCCCGCACCTGGTGATCTCCATGATCGCTGTGTCCTACGGATACAGCTGATCACGTGATGTGGTAAAAGGCCAATCACAGCGGCCTTTACCACGTGATCAGCTGTGTCCAATGACACGCTGATCACCGGGAAATGCAATTGCCGGTTCTCGGCTGCACTTTCCTCATGCTGTCAGAGAACGAGGAAAGTACTCCCGAGACCTGGCAGTTGTCAGAGCAGGGATCGGCACCGATCATCAGTGCCCTGATGATCGGTGCCCAGCAGTGCCACCCACCAGTTCCGCCCACCTGTGCCCAGCAGTGCTGTCTACCAGTGCCCAGCGGTGCCACCCACCAGTGCCCAGCAGTGCCACCCAGCAGTGCACCCACCTGTGCCCAGCAGTGTCACCTACATGTGCCCATAAGTGCCACCTACCTGTGCCCAGCAGTGCATCCCACTTGTGCCCACCCCCCTGTGCCCACCAGTGCCACCCACCAGTGCCCATCAATGCAGTGCTGCCAGTCAGTGCCACCAGTCAGTGCCCAGCAGTTGTGCCAGTCAGTGCCCATCAGTTACGCCAGTCAGTGTCCAGCAGTGATGCCAGTCAGTGCCATCTATCAGTGCTGTCTATCAGTACCCATCATCAGTGCCACCTATCAGTGCCGCCTATCCGTGCCACCTTATTAGTGCTGCCTATCAGTGCCACCTATCAGTGCCGCCTATCAGTGCCCATCAGTGCTGTCTCATCAACGCACATCAGTGAAGGAGAAAAAAATTACCTGTTTGAAAAATTTTATAATAGAAACAAAGAAAAAATTTTTTTTTACATTTTTTGCAATTTTTTTGTTTATAGCGCAAAAAGTAAAGTGTTCAGTGGCGATTAAATACCACCAAAATAAAGCTCTATTTGTGATAAAAATTTCATATGGGTACAATCTTGCATGACCGCGCAATTGTCAATCAAAGTGCGACAGCGCTGAAAGCTGAAAATTGGGCATCCAGTACACCCCTAACCCTATCCAAGTTATAAATCCCCTAATAAAATGTCAAAACATGTCTAAGGACTGGTTACTGTCTCCTGGATGCAAGTTGATGTGGAAAATGCATGTTGCCTGAGCAGGACTATAGGGGGGCCCAAAACTTCAGCGACTCCTAAGGGGGTAGTGCTACACAATATTAGGAAATGCAAAGCTCCTTAAATCCAACCAGCAATCCTCTGTTGATCCTGACAGGTTAAAACATGAAAGAAGCTGTTGACCCACCACCTACAAACTATAATAAAGTGAACTTAAAAGTCCATACTGATTGGCATTCGAATCCTCAACTACCTTGCCTATAAAATATGTCACCATCATACTATTGACTTAATATTATGAACTTCTATCTTATGTTTAGTGGAACAAAAAGAATGAGAAGGCATTTTGAACGATAACATGCTTCTAGCAATGTCCTCACCCAGCTTCTGTGTACACTGCTTCAGTTGCGCATGCGGCTGTTACTGCTCCTACAATCCCACCGATTATACCTGGCATTCCATGGAGATTATGGATTCCGCAAGTATCATGGAGATTTATTTTTGATAACAACAAAGGCTGTAAAATAGAATTTTAAAGAATTTATTGCAGAAAATAAATTTGATTTCAGGCATTTTTTCGGTATGAATTGAGAGATAGTGAATAAATCTTTTCAGTCAGACAAAAACAACCATCAGAATAAGATAACGAAGGGCCTATTACCTGTGGTTGCTACCCGTGGTTGTGGATAGATTCCAATGTACATGTGGCAAATTGGGGTTCTAGGACGTTCTCCAACTTTTGGCTGTTGGAAGTGGTTGTACCACATGTACACAGTATACTATAGGTATGTCACTTTTTTTCCTCCCCTTCCGGATGAGGAAGGATAAAAACTCACGTCAAAGTCCACTTTATTCTAATGCCATGAATCTACAGTTCTTCTCTCAGTTTCTAGTTGTTGGATTCTCATTTGAAGAACATACATTTGGGATTAAAGGGAGCTTTTATTGGGATGTGAATAGGCCAACCCTCCTCCACACCACCACCCACCATGGTTCTTGGGTTCTCCCTTTCCTCCGGGGATCCTGAGCAGGGGCGGACTGACAACTCATGGGGCCCCCGGGCAATAGGTGATCATGGGGCCCCTGTGTCCTTGCCCAAACTCAAAAAAGCCTATGAAAAAGGTACCAGGGGCATCTCATGGGGTCCCCTACTGACCCCAGGCCCTCGGGCAGTGCCCGAGTTTCCAAATGGTCAGTCCGCCCCTGATCCTGAGTAACCTACTTTAAGACAGAGAACAGAAGGAGCTTGGGGAACATCTATTCCTCAATCTCTTAAATGGAAATGATCAGCAGTTTGCCATTTTCCATTTCAGTTTAATTATAACTCGGCACTGTAGCTTGATTAGCTGAGTGCAGGGCAGGGGAGACCCCCTAATGTCTCCATAAAGAGAGCCTGTCACTTGCCCATGCATTGTATTCCCCCTTGTGATAGCAATAAAGTTAAATTAATTTTTTAAAGTGTTAAAAACAAAACTTATAATAAAATACATTTGAAAAAAATGTCAAAGCAATCCCATCGCCCACCGCACACATTCCCATGCAAATACATATGTATGGAATGCACATGTATGAGGTGTGACAATTTAATTCCTGGAGCGCCCGTACTGTAGGACTATGGTGGCAGTCCACACAGCCATTCACATTTGAGCGTGTTCTGACATTTTCTACCTTGCACTCGCCTGGGTCTCAGACCAGATGACTCAGTCTTTACATAGTAGAAGAAATAACACATGTGTATGTTGCACTGTTGGCGGATAATGAGTGACAGGAATCTGGAGCAGAGAATTACCATGAAATTTTGTGTGACAATATGCAAGGAAAACTTTAGTTCTGCTATAACCGGCTTATGGTGAACATTCTAAGAAGAAATCAAGTGTTTTTGAATAGCATAGGTGGTTTAAGAAGGGGCTGGAAGATGTCCACGATCATGCAAGAAATGAGCAGCCAAAAACGCAAAGGATGCTGCAAATGTGAAAAATCAAAAAGGAATCTGTTTGGAGGAAACATTGCCCTTACAATTGGATTCTCCACCACAACAATGCTCCTGCACATGATACCTTAGGTGTTCCTGGCCCATAAATCAAATCCAAAACTTGATCAACCACTTTATTCCCCCGACTTAGCACCCTGCGACTTTTGTCTGTTTCCTAAATTAAAAAATTCCTTAAACGGACATAGGCTTGATGAGATCCAGCTCACCTCAACAAAGATACTGCACAAAGTTCCAGAAAATGAATTCCAGAAATGCTTCCAGCAGTGGCACACTTGTTTAGTAAAGTTTATAGCATCACAAAAGGACTACTTTGAACCGCCAGTGTATAGGTAAGCAAATATTTTTTTTGGGTGGGTGGTCAGTCCATTCCAGGAATTAAATTGTCACACCTCGCAAGTAAACAATAGTTGCTCCAAGCATGTGAGATATCATCACGAAACATCAGAGTAAAAGCAAAGAATCTGAGGCTTTAAATCACAGTTAAATCTAAAAGGATAAACTGTAAAGACTTTTTAAAGCATTGTCTATGGTAAATTTTTTATACTTTTTTGTTTTTTTTGCCATTTTACAGGCACATACAATTTTAGAGCTTGATAGTTTTTTTAATCTATTTACTCAGTGCAACCCCATCTTTTATATCTTCCAAACTGTGTATTATATTTTGTTCTTGTGCACTAAAATTAGTGTTTTACTGAAAATATGCGCTTGAAAAACATATGTGCAAATATTGTGCACATAAAAACTTGCATCTGCCACCACTTGCAACTGCCACCTCTTCTTTCAAAAATATATAGTTGTTTGGAGGTTTTAGATATTTTTTAACAAATATGCAGACTTTAACAGGCGTGTAAAAAATTTAAAAATTGCCCCATATGTGAAGAGGTTAAATCATTAAGGGTTGTTTTAATTGCACAAGTCACATTTTCTTTTTTTTTATTATTTCAGGTACTTATATAGCGCTGTCATACACAGTGGTTTACACATATATATTGAACATTCAGTCTGGCTGAAAAAAGAAAAAAGTCCATCCAGAATAATTTATTTACTTATTACAGGTACTTATATAGCGCCATCAATTTACGCAGCGCTTTATGTACATATTGTACATTCACATCAGTCCCTAACCCTCAAGGGGCGTACAATCTAAGGTCCCTAACTTACATTCATGCATACACATATTAGGGCCAATTTAGACAGGATCCAATTAACCTACCAGCATGTCTTTAGAGTGTGGGAGGAAACCGGAGTACCTGGAAGAAACCCACACAAGCACAGGGAGAACATGCAAACTCCATGCAGGAGGTACCATGGTAGGGAATCAAACCCATGACCCATTTACTGCAAGGCAGATGTGCTAACCACTAAGCCACTGTGCCGCCCATACACTACTGTATGAATTGCACAGAAATGTACATGCATTTTAGAGATGAAACAAGCAGATGACAGAGCAGGGCAGGTAAGAGCAATACTTCACTTACTGAAAGGTAGACATATCCAAGTGTAGATACAATTCCACATATGAAACCAACTATCAGTGATCCATATGGAGTAAGCATCATTTCGGCAGCTGTCCCAACTGCCACTCCTCCAGCCAGAGTGGCATTCTGAATGTGAACCTGTAAGACCAAAATTCTATAAGCAAAGCATAAATGTACCTCATATCTGGACACATTGAAGACTACATTATACAATACCTTTCTGACATTATCCAAATGTAGTGCTCAGCCCCCCAAAAGGGCCCCTTGTGGGCAGGTGCAGTCTATTTTCTTCACTGTAGGTGGCACTCGTACGGAGAAGTACTGCAGCTGAAGGGGATCCCTAGGGAAACTTGGTTTCTCTAAGGTTCACTTGAAGCAGCATTTTGGTTGGCTATGTTGCATCCTGGTGTTCCTGGTGGCCATCTTGGGTCATGCAGAGTTATTTTAAGTCCCTACCTTCAGGTTTTCGCCCACATTTGCAAAGTGGCTAGTGTAGGGAGAGCATACCCATCTGTCAGGGACAACACTAATGGTAGGGACAGGTTCTGGAGCAGTAAAGAGCTCAGGGCCTTCATCTGCTCTTCAGCAAGCTCCCTTTTGAGTTGGACCAGCCAGGCCACATTCGACCCCTCTTAGCAAGCAGTTAGGGCCTACTACCTCTGACTCTCTTGGCTGTAAGTTCCTGGCTTGGTGAACTCCCTTGGTGGGTTGTTGTACTGTTTGCAAGTTCTTCAATAAATCGGCTACTGCACTCCAGACCTCTATGTGTGTACTGCCACTGCATGACGCTGCACCAACATGCTTCCTTTCAGCGGGATCTGTTCCCAAACTAGTGTAGCAGCAGCCAGGAACACAGCAACATTCACTCTTCAGCCTAGGGGTGACTTTTTTAAAAATGTATTGCTGAATAAAATTGTATGGGAAATACTCCAGTACAGTCCTTCCAACAGCAACTAAGGAACTGAGCAACACTGAGACACCATAGAAAATGTCCCCAATTTGAGCAAGCACTGGCACTAATGCACAAGGGATAGTAGCCACACACAGTCACTAGAATCCTACACACAGGTCTAAACTCACAAATGTCCCTGGATACTTGGATGCCTCCTTCCAATACCTGCCAACTGCCACAGGACTCTGACTACACTCACAGGCCAATTTATCAGGTACACCTTGCTAGTATTTGGTTGGACCCCCTTTTGCCTTTAGAACTGTCTTCTTCATGGCATAGATTTAACAAGGTATTGGAAATATTCCTCAGAGATTTTGTTCCATATTAACATGAGTTACTTTTGCCTTTCTATCATCTTGAACCAGTCTGCCCATTCTCCTCTGACGTCAACAAGACATTTTATCCACACATCTGCAGCTCACTGGATATTTTCTCTTTTTCGGACCAGTCTCTGTAAACTTTCGAGATGATTGTGCATTAAAATCCCAATAGATCAGCGATTTTTGAAATACTCAGACCAGGGGTGGACTGACAACTCATGGGGCCCCCGGGCAATAGGGGATCATGGGGCCTCTGTGTTCTTGCCCAAACTCAAAAAAGCCTATGAAAAAGGTACCAAGGGCATCTCATGGGGCCCCCTACTGACCCCGGGCCCTTGGGCAGTGCCCGAGTTTCCAAATGGTCAGTCCGCCCCTGACTCAGATCAGTCCGTCTGGCACCAACATCCATGCCATGTTCAAAGTCACTAAAATCCCCTTGCTTACGAATTCCGAATTCTGATGTTAAGTTTGAACATCAGCAAGTCGTCTTCACTACGCATTGAGTTGCTGCCATGTGATTTGCTGATTAGCAATTTGTGTTATCAAGCAATTGAACAGGTGTACCTAATAAAGTGGCCAGTGAGTTTACGTACGTGCTCCTCAGGCACCTACTGGTCGCCCTCCCCCAGGGATTAGCTGGAACCACACAAATATTCAAGCTTTGAATTTGACTCTTCCAGCCCATTACATTCCAGAATCCTCCAGAAGGCAGGAGGAAGTAGCTAAACCTGCAACCCTTGAAACCTAGAACAGCCCAAAATAATCACAAGCTGCTCCACTGATTACAGAGGAGCCAAAAAGAAACTAAATGTACCTACCCTAACTAGCAGCCTATCTAGGACGGTGCTACACAAAAAAAAAATTTCTGCTATTTACAGGTGAAACTCGAAAAATTAGAATATCGTGCAAAAGTTCATTTATTTCAGTAATGCAACTTAAAAGGTGAAACTAATATATGAGCTAGACTGATTACATGCAAAGCAAGATAGTTCAAGCCGTGATTTGTCATAACTATGATGATTATAGCTTACAGCTCATGAAAACCCCAAATCCACAATCTCAGAAAATATTCCATGCAATCTATAAAACAAGGATTGTACATAGAACAATATCGGACCTCTGAAAAGTATAAGCATGCATATGTACTCAGTACTTGGTTTGGGCCCCTTTTGCAACAATTACTGCCTCAATGCGGCGTGGCATGGAAGCTATCAGCCTGTGGCACTGCTGAGGTGTTATGGAAGACCAGGATGCTTCAATAGCGGCCTTCAGCTCTTCTGCATTGTTCGGTCTCATGTCTCTCATCTTTCTCTTGGCAATGCCCCATAGATTCTCTATAGGGTTCAGGTCAGGCGAGTTTTCTGGCCAATCAAGCACAGTAATCCCACGGTCATTGAACCGGGTTTTGGTGCTTTTGGCACTGTGGGCAGGTTCCAAGTCCTGCTGCAAAATGAAGTCAGCATCCCCATAAAGCTCCTCTGCAGAAGGAAGCATGAAGTGCTCCAAAATCTCCTGGTAGACGGCTGCATTGACCCTGGACTTAATGAAGCACAGTGGACCAACACCAGCAGATGACATGGCTCCCCAAATCAACACAGACTGTGGAAACTTCACACTGGACTTCAAGCACATTGCAGTGTGTGCCTCTCCATTCTTCCTCCATACTCTGGGTCCTTGGTTTTCAAATGAGATGCAAAAGTTGCTCTCATCAGAAAAGAGGACTTTGGACCACTGAGCAACAGACCAGGTCTGTTTTTCTTTAGCCCAGGTAAGACGCTTCTGATGTTGTTTGTTGTTGGTCAGGAGCGGCTTGACAAGAGGAATCTGACATTTGAAGCCCATGTCCAGGATCCGTCTGTGTGTGTGGTGGCTCTTGATGCACTGACTCCAGCCTCAGTCCACTCCTTGTGAAAGTCACCAACACTTTTGAATGGCCTTTTCCTGACAATCCTCTCCAGGCTGCGGTCATCCCTGCTGCTTGTGCACCTTTTTCGTCCACACTTTTCCCTTCCACATAACTTTCTATTAATGTGCTTTGATACAGCACTTTGGGAACATCCAACTTCTTTTGCAATTACCTTTTGATTCTTTCCCTCCTTATGGAGGGTGTCAATGATCGTTTTCTGCACAACTGTCAGGTCAGTAGTCTTTCCCATGATTATGATTCCTACTGAACCAGACTGAGAGACCATTTAAAGGCTCAGGAACCCTTTGCAGGTGTTATGGCTTAATTAGCTGATTAGAGTGGGACACTTTGAGCCGAGAATATTGCACCTTTTCACAATATTCTCATTTTCTGAGATTGTGGATTTGGGGTTTTCATGAGCTGTAAGCCATAATCATCACAATGATGACAAATCACGGCTTGAACTATCTTGCTTTGCATGTAATGAGTCTATCTCATATATTAGTTTCACCTTTTAAGTTGCATTACTGAAATAAATGAACTTTTGTACAATATTCTAATTTTTTCGAGTTTCACCTGTAGATCCAAGTGTCAAGACTTTCAAAGATCAGAAGAGGTCCATACATTTATGAAGTTGCCGCAGTGTCAGTACAGAGCAGAAGAGGGCCACACATTATTACGAAGGGTGTACCGAAAGTAGTGCAAAAGAGGTCATAACATTTTTATTAACTTGCATCGATTGTTCAAATTTCACATGTTGATAGAGGTGATTGTAGCCATATTAGTGCATTTGCGACAGAAACAATTGAGTACTGTCCGTGATACTTTCTAATATTCTGCTGAAACTTTGTGATTTGTATTTGTATAGTACTGCTTGGACCTTGAAGAAGGGGATATACCCCAAAAGCTTGTCCTCAAAATTGTATGTTAGTGCAAATAAAAAAAGTATCACGGACAGTACTCAATTGTTACATGTTGATAGAGTAATGCTTCTTCTTTAGCAACGCTTCTTCTTCATTTTCATTGCAGGTAAATGATGTAGTACAAGCAGATGTAACATGACATCTTTGAATTCTTGTTGAAGGAGGGGTGCAGGCTGTTCATGATCCACAGAAGGATACAAAATGTTTACAGAGATGACACCAGGTAAACTTCTTCATCTCTCTCTGCACAATGCTCTTGTCAATGGTGTCATCTCCTTAAACATTCTGCAGCCTTCTATGGATATCAGACCAAAAAAAGTAAAAAAGCAGATTAATATCACCCAATCTCCCTTCATCAGTTTAAAAACTGGTGAACAGATATGTTCAGGACTACAAAGACACCATTTCTCAGGTGTAATTGTGTACAACCCATACAGAAATGCAACTGCTTCACCAAGCCCTTAAAATGAAAACATATACTGTATAAAGCTAGTATAGTGTACATTTCAAAGCTACTTTTTTCCAAACCTACTTTCTAATGCACTTATGGATGTTACAGGTTGCTAATAAATTTCAGTATATTTTCTGAACTCCAGGCAATACACTGCTGTTCATTTTAAACATTTTTTATTTAAGTACTGCTAATGGGTTAGATAGAAATTATTAGTTTTATTGGGTTAGGATAGGTCATATGGACAGTGTTCAGATTTTATACACTTACCATTTCTAATTTTCCATGTTTGTTGGTTACACTGGAGATAGCAACAGTCGTGAGAACACAAGCAGCTAGAGAACAATATGTATTAATGGCGGCTCTGTGCTGGGCATCACCATGATTGGAGAGAGCCGAATTAAAGCTGGGCCAGTACATCCATAAATATAAGGTTCCTGTGTATGCACAAAAGGGGCAGTGGTTAAAAATCATACTCTTTAGTTTTGTATTACAGTGTCATTAAACCCACATAATTGAAAGCTATCAATAAATGCTGTATTGCATGCTGATCATACACACTCAGTCACTACGGGATTTACTTTCTGTATCCTCTACAAAAAAAACCTGGTTGATTCTACTTTTCTCTGTCCCCCTGTTCTGTCCATGCCCCCAATGCAGTTGGAGATTTTACAAAGCAGTGTTGGCAGCTACTGCACATGCTCAGTTTTCAGTGAGTTTCTATGCTGAGCATTTCCTCCCTATCACACCTAAGCAGCCCATGTAACTATAGACACAATGGTAAATGACAGCCCACTCCCTCCCTCCTCCTTCTCCATGGCTACTAACCAGTTAAAGCCAATGGGGGGGGGGGGGATATTACATCTTGATTGATGCAGGCTTCACCTCCCTGTTATTCTATGACACAGGCTGGAAAGGTGTGACACAGTCTGTGACTGGCAGAAATCCTCCATCATGTTATTGTCAAAAGATAATAGTGAAAAATGAATAAAGATTGAATTTCAAATATATATATTTCTATGACAATTTGCGACAGTTTATTGCAATTATTTATTTATTTATAATCTGTATCCCAAATGCATGTGACCAGCAGCAGAGAACTAGAAGCTCCTCCTGCCACTGTTTCTCTCCAGACAGGCTGGGAAAGAGCTGGGTCATGTGACAGTAGTATATTGATTAGGAAAAAAGGGTACTCAGATTTTGTTTTTAATTTAAATAATTACAATGCCATCATTCACATACACAAAGAGAAGAAGATAATGTAAATGATACAGTTTGTGTTTAGTATCACTTTAAGAGCTATTTTTTAATAAGTGTAATGCCCTCTAGGTTATCCAGATAGGCTGTTTGGTGTTGTTTTTTTGAGGCCTTGTAGCAGCCTGGGGATGAGTCAGCCTGGGGAGTGAGGTAGTGAGGTTACCTAAGGACAAGCAGGAGGCTCTAACAGGTCAGGGCTTCTGGAGCCCTCCATCCTCTCTAGAAACCCGAGAGCTTTCTGGAGTGGAAGAGGGGAGCAAGCCAAAATCTGCATGTTTGAGGGACCTTGGCCAATCCCTTGACAGGAGACTGGGCATGGTGGCCAGGGCAACCCTCAAATGTGGCAGAGCCTGGGGGGAGGTGTGCAGTGCTGGGAGGAAGACTAGAGTGTGGAACCTGGGAGGGGGCCTCGTGATGGAGGGGGCCTACCTACAGGCTGGTGTTGGATGGGAGGATCTCCAATGCCTCAACGTCTCCATCAGAGATCAGTCTGTACAGCAGGGAAGCAGCCAGCCCAGCAAAAGGCCTGAAGGCAGCCACCAACCCACTAAGCTTACAGGAGAGGACAGTGTGAGTATTCCTACACCCCCTGGGCCGAATTAGGGGAGAGGGCAGTCAGGTGCAAGACCCAACTAGCTTCTCATCTGGGACTGTTCTAAATCTATAGCTTTTGGGCCCCCCTTGCTCAGGGATACCCTCAGGTAGCTGGGTGAAGAGGAGGATTCATCTGGGGTCTGAAGAGATACACCAGAGAGCCTTTTTTGCTCTCAAAGGAGAGACTGTTACTAAATCCACATTTTTGTGCATAGTTGCTAAGGAGCTTTTCCTCAAAGTTCTGCAGTTCCGTGGCCACCCCATCCAAGTTCTAAACCCCTTAATAAAATAATAAAAAGTTCTTTTGTTACAGTCCCTTTCTTATAACAGAATGGATTCCCGGCAACCTTTTGTCAGTGTGTGAAGACTTAAAGCAGATAGAGTTCACAGTAGGGATGAGCTTTGAGTTTAGACCTGAAGTTGAATTTAGGCCAAAGGTTTCCTAAATGAGGTGTACGCTCACTGGCCACTTTATTAGGTACACCTGTTTAATTGCTTTGTAACACAAATTGCTAATCAGCCAATCATATGGCATGTAGACGTGGCGAAGACAACTTGCTGATGTTCAAACCAAGCATCAGAATGGGGAAGAAAGGGTATTTAAATGACTTTGAACATGGCATGGTTGTTGGTGCCTGACAGGCTGGTCGGAGTATTTCAAAAACTGCTGATCTACTGGGATTTTCACGCACAACCATCTCTAGAGTTTACAGAGCATGGTCCAAAAAAGAGAAAATATCCAGTGAGCTGAAGTTGTGTGAACAAAAACACCTTGTTGATGTCAGAGGTCATAGGAGAATGGGCATTCAATTTTAGCTGCGACATTCAGATGGTAGGGTCAGAATTTGGTGTAAACAACATGAAAGCATGGATCCATCCTGCCTTGTAGCACTGGTTCAGGCTGGTGGTGGTGGTGGTGTAATGGTGTGGGGGAGATTCTCTTGGCACTAGCAAGGTGTACCTAATAAAGTGGCCGGTGAGTGTGTATGGGGTGTTCGTTTGACCACAGAGCCGAACCTCCAGTTGCAGTGGGAAGTGAAATACTTAGGAGCAGTATTACTACCACTGTTACATGTGACAGCTTCCACCTCGGGCTTGTTACTAGGGAATTGGTGGTAGCAAACAGTGACGATTCCCTGCCCATCCATTCAGATATATATATGGTATCACTGATTGTCAGGAACCAGAGAATTTATTTTGGGTTGTTCTTTGGTGGTAATAGCAGGAAATATACAGCTCAATTAAAAAAATGTTTTTTTTTTTTTACTATTTTGGGTCAGTTCTCTTTTGATAGTAAACAAGGTATGATGCACCTGGATGCCTAAAGTAGTAGCGATCAGGGGCGGACTGACCATTTGGAAACTCGGGAACTGCCCGTGGGCCCGGGGACAGTAGGCGGCCCCATGAGATGCCCCTGGTACCTTTTTCATAGGCTTTTTTGAGTTTGGGCAAGGACACAGGGGCCCCATGATCCCCTATTGCCCGGGGGCCCCATAAGTTGTCAGTCCGCCCCTGTTAGCGATGATATGTACAGTTTTACTAACACATGTCAAAGTTGCAAAATTGTGTTCAGGCATTAACAATTGTTTTACTCACCGCAATAAGGGGCAGGGCTGGGACAAGGGGTTACATAGCTACATAGCTAGTCTGGCTGAAAAAAGACAAAAGTCCATCCAGTTCAACCATTAAAAAAAATGGATGCCCTGGGCGGGGTGGTATCATATGGAAAGTTCCTACCTACAAGCTGCCAGGAGTAGTGATGGAGGAGACAAGCCAGATCTAGAGAGGAAGGGAGATCTGGGAGGAGGGACAGGTTGTACTCACTCTCCCCTCCAGCTCCTCCTCCCACTGCAGCTCTCCTGGAACAGGATTGCCAGATCACCACTGTGCAGTGTTTGTTTATCTGCCCCATCTTCTTCCAGCAAAGAACATAGGTGGGGGCAGGTAAGCAAACATTGCACAGTGACAGTCTGACAGCCAGTGGTATCTCTAGTGCAGGGCCCCTGCACTGCAATCCTATTGCCCTATAAAGCCCCCCCTATAGTGCTTGAATTTTTTTGGGGGGGCTGGAATTTTTACTGACACATAACGACACCTAATGCTCATACATTTTTTTTTTTGGGGGGGGGGGGGGGGGGTGTTTGGCATCTTCACCCTGGGCACTAGATGACCTTGTCCTGGCACTGCTAAGGGGTTAAGAATAAAATCATAGTCTGGACTGGTGTCACAGTGTGCTGGTCATCATGATCATCTTTCCCACTGTAAACCAAGTCTGTTGCCTCTAAAGTGCCCAAGAAAACTGTCACATGGAAAACACATTGAAAATCATTTAGAGTATGTATGTATTATACACCAAACTCACCGATCATTGCAAAGATATCAGATGTGTACACTGATCCTTCCTTGTTGTTGTTTTGCTGTAAATTTGGACGCTGTAGAATCCAGGCCACTGTCAATCCAAAATACGCCCCAAATGTGTGGATAGTCATAGAACCACCAGCATCGTTAACCTGCAGTAAGAATCGTGGCTTGTTAGTTACACGGTTGTAAAACATGTTCAAAAGTTATAAGATCGTCTTATCTTTAGCTGTAAGGCACAGGTGTCAAACACAAGGCCCAAATCCGGCCCTCCAGGCCATTTCATGTGGCCCTTGCACCTCTCCTGCAGGTACCCCCTTCATCTCTGCCTCCACACTGTCTCAGCAGTTGGCAGCAGAGAGGACAGAACTCCTCTGCCAGATCCTGCACCAGTGCAGCTGCAGCACCCCCTCATCACTGCCTTCCCTGATCTCAGCAATCAGCAGACTCTGGTAACTGACTCCACTCCTCCTCTGGTCCTCCTCCAGACCCTGCACTTTCTGCTTCCCCGCTCTGCCCCCAAAGGGGGTGCACAGTGATGTTAGGGAAGGTAGGGATTCTTGACATCTGATGTATAGGGGGTGAGGTGCTCTAGTCTTACAGATACAACCGGCCCTTTGAGAGCAACCATAATGCTGATATGGCCCGTTATGAAATGGAGTTTGACACCCCTGCTTTAAGGGTTGTAAAGCCTTACATATACCCAGTGAAGTGACTAGCCTCAGGTCATACACAGAGATGAAACAAATCCTCCTACATAAGTTGTATCCGTTTATCTGCAGTCATTTGTCCTCTACAGCCTTGTAAAATGAAAAGGATTTTTCTCAGACTCACAAAGCAGGGGGAGGGGGGCTGAAGTTACACACTGTACTAGAGTTCTGAGAGCTGATTGGAGGGAAGAGACACACACCTCCTTCACACAGCTCACAGGAACAGAGCTGAGGCTGTCAATCAGCTAGAGGTCCCTCTCCTGTCACCATTTTTCTCTTGGTGTCAGGAAAACGTATCAGAAGTGACTCATGCTGATAGCAGATGAATGAAGCAGCAAACAGAGATGACACTTGGTGGTTTGGAGAGAGGCAAGTGAAACATATGGAAATAAGGGCTTGTTCACACTTGACTAAATTTCGAACTCTTACCAAACGCTCCTATATCTTTAGTATGGTAGTTAGACTGGCTTTTTACAAGCGTTAAAAACACTCCCTAAACGCCTTATGAGCAGTTTTGAAGCATCCTATAAGCATTTGACAAGCATTAAAAACAACACCACAAACTAAATAAACTGTTATTAACGCCAGCAACCTCATGGCAAATGCCCTGCAAAAGCCTGCCAGTGCATTTGAAGAGCAGCACCATAGACTTGAATGGGAGGCATTGAAAGGCTTCAAACTCTTTCTGACTCGACATGAGGCTTCAATTTTGAAGTCACGCAACGCTAACGCTTCATGTTTTGATAATGTGAACAGCACTATGTGCTGTCCATAGTATCATATGCATAGGCGTTTGAGGAGTCTTAACCTCCCTGGCGTATTCCCGAGTGTAGCTCGGGGTAAAGTTTCAGCACCACAAGCGGTAACCCCGAGCTACACTCAGGAATACACTGCAGCGTTGCTCCGGGATCTTTTCTGCACATACCTTGTCCTGCGCTCCCGTGATGTCCCCCCTGCAGTGTCCCCGGCCATCTCCTCCGGCTGATGCCGGCATCTGTCTGGTTCCGTCCCCTGTGAGCGTCGGGACGTACGGGGGACGGAACGGCGGGAAATTTAAAAATGTCAAAAAGTGACATTCACTAAATACACTAAAATAACATAGTAAAACATTCCTGTATCAAACCATTTCACATACATTTTGTCCCGAGTGCTTTGTCCTGTTTCCTGCCTGCATTTTTACTGTTCTTTCTGCCTGGAAACTGAGAAACGTCCATGGCGTCCAAAAAGCGTCCCTTTAGGTCAAAAGTGGTTTTAGACCAGCTAGGGAACAGCGATAGTAAATCAGAACCACTTGCAGAATTGAGTGATAATGATTCGTGGGGGAAATTCGTCATCAGACACTGAAAACGATTTTGCGACTTTGCTCAGCGATGTGCGAACTTGGCGCTATATTTCAAATTTCAGTGTTTTTGGTTTGATTATATTATTGAATTAAATTTATTATTATTATATTATTGTTTTTTATGATTATTTATTAAAATATAATTTATGATTTCGTGTTTCAAATTGTAACATACCCGGGATGTTTACTAGACTCTTGTTCGGACAGATTTCAGTGAGTTATTCCTAAAAATTACAGGCCTACAATAAAAACAATACATATTTCCATGCACAAAAATCAGACTGCTAGGGAGGCTACAAACGCCCCTCAAACACCTGTTTTCAATGACAGTGTGAACAAGGCCTAAGTGTTTTGTTCAGCTTTCATTCCTGAGGTTTACAGCCATTTTATTGGTACAGTCACTCCCAAAAATGTATCCTTGTTAAAAGTTTATTCATTCCTACTATTGTTCCACATTTTTATTACTGTTTAGGTTTTAGTGTATAGTTCAACAGAGATAGACATGAACATCCTATGTAATCTAAAGTGATATTACACCCCCAGTTTTAAGCACTTTCAGCAGCTGATCCAATCCCTTAGAAGGGGTTTGCACCTCTGCTTGCTGCGATTGATACATTTTTGCATTTCTGAACACGGTTTTGATGCATTTTGCTTTTTTTTGCCAATAGGAAAGTATTTGGATGGATGTGACTTTAATGCGACTTGGTTGCCCCTTTGACGTGACTATGGATGGGTGCGACTTTAATGCAACTTGGTTGACCCTTCGAGGCAACTTTGGATGGGTGCAACTTGGATGTCACTTTGATGCTATTTGAGTGCCATAGAGTATAAAGCTGCATCAACGATGAATCAAAGTCACACCACGTGAACAGAGCTGTCATACTTTTCGATTAGCAAATAAAAGTCACATCAAAGTCTGACCCATCCAAAATTGAATCAATGTCACACCCATCCACAATCACATCAAAGTGGCATCAAAGTCACACCCATCCACAGTCACATCAAAGTGGCATCAAAGTCAATACTTTCCTATTGGCACAAAAAACCCCAAAACACAAAAAGCATCAAACAAGTGCCAAAATTACTTGTGAGCTAATATGGTGAAATTCAAAAGTGTTATATACAGCCAAAAAAATAATATTAATTTTATATATGTACAAATAGGTTCGCTAGCACCCTACACGAACTCATAAATAGTGTTAATAACTCTATATATTCAAACAATAGTGCAGCGCAGAATCAATTCCCCCTGATGAAGCCACGTGACGGTGGCGTAACGCGTAGGGGAGGGGATCTGACGTCATCACGCTAAGTCGGCTTGTCACGGCGAGTAGGAGAATTTGTGCTGAGCACACACAAAGTTTGATAAAGCGCATTTTATTTGTTAAATATGTGAGTGGGATTACTGGCTATATAAATAAAGGTTTTTAAAGGATAAGGCACTATCGTTTGCTTTTCTTTTGGTATCATGTATGTGGAGATCTGGAGGGGATACAAGGAGGAATAGACCCCTGGAGGTGAGAAGGGGAAATCCATCCATCCTTATACTACCATAAGAAACTACACACTGGAGAGACATCAGGTGGATAATTAGTAAATTGCAGTGTGGAACCATCTAGGAAGGAGTTCAGGAGCAGCAGTATTTGCATCTGTCCCTGTAGGACAAACAGCTATTTTAGCCTATATCAAGTAGGCAAATAAGGAGGTAAGCGCATAATAGAGGAAAAACTATCCTGAAGCCGTCCTATGTGTTGGAACAAATCCATATATTAATATTGGAGAACTATTTATTTAAATATTATTTGGGACACTGGTTGATGAGACATATTGTTTTTATTGGATTGGATATTATATCGTTTTGGTCATTATTATATTTGCATATATTTAGGTTAATTATATAGATTATCTTTGGATTCATAATCACAAGTTTAGGATTTATTAATTTTAAAATAATTTTTGGTACACTCATTTATTTATATATATTTTAGTACACTAATTATTCAGCAAGGGAGCGCTGCACTATTGTTTGAATATACAAAAAGCATCAAAAACGCACTACACTATGTGTCCACTGTAGTCTATTGAACCAAAAACACACAGTGTTGCGTTTAACAATCTCCCTGACCCTTTCCAAAAATTTAGTTGCTGAAAAAGATATGAACCATAGTAAACCATGTTAAATGGAATGTAGTGTGTTTCTGCAAAAATGCAAATGCACTAAAAAATGCATAGGTGTGAACCAGGCCTTAGTGGCTATGCAGCTTCTTTATCCTTTAATCCTTGCCGGTGTTCCAGTTTAAGCGATTTCCATGACCGCTACTCCACGTTTCCTGTTCTAGGGTGGCTCCTTTCTCTTGCAGCAGGGACTAGACTAGTGTCTCCCTATACTGTGTGCATCAATAGAAACAGCCTGGGATAGGCTATTATAGAATGCATGAAGGTAAAAAACCTTAAGCCTTTAGAACCACTTGAATTATTTAGAGCTGCTTAGGGTTTCACAGGCTGCTGCTCTGTTACTTCCTCTGCCTTCAGGAGATTTCTAGAACATAGTGGGAGGTAGGACAGAGCCTGTAGCCTGAATATTTGTGGAACTCCAACCAATCCCTGGGGAGGTGTGCCCAGAAGGTGGAGAGAGAGCCCATAAGTAATCTGAGGCCTGAGCAGCAGGGGCAGTGTTTTCCTGGGTCCAGTCCCGCAGGAAGGGCTCTACACCCTGGGGCAGAAGTCTGGGAGGAAGCCAGCCTGAAGACACCGAGGTCCCAACTAGGCATAGCTGGGGGGCTTATTTACAAGTACTAGTTTAAAGTAGTTCTAAAGGTTGAAGGCTTTTTTACCTTTATACACTCTATGCATGAAGGTAAAAAACCTTCAGTATGCAGTTCCCCCCCTCAGCCCCCCATTACTTCTTGAGTCAGATCTCAATCCAGCGATGTGCACGAGAGCAGAAGCTCTCCCAGGTCTCTCTCTCCTCATCAGCTGAGAGATAGCACTCGGAGCCATTGTCAATTACAGCCAGTGAGGAGGGAGCAGAGGGCAAGGCAGAGCAGGACTCGGGAATGAGCATGTACGAGTGCCCCAGGGCAAGTGGCTTGCTATGGGG